CACATTGAGCAACCTTTCTCCGTACGCTGACACACGAATGCTTTGACCTAAAAGCCCGTTATTATTTGGGCGTTGTTAGTTTTAGTTTAGCTGTTGATTTGGTTCGATCTTGTTTTCTTCTGAACATTCGCGTTTTCTGTTATGTATTGTTTTTAGGGGTATGACAGTATTGTGTGAATTGCGTTTATTTGTGAACTAATATGTTTTTCGCTTTTAAATGTTATTTGTTTATATATCACTAAGTTGTCCAGGACGTTGAATATTTGTTCTTTTTGTGCGATGTGTATTGTTTTGTTCACCGACTCGCAGACCAAAACTCAGCAACATTAATAAATAACTTTGTCATCGTGTTTATACATTAGTTACCAGCTTGATAAAAAAATATAAAAAATAAATTGAACAATTTCAATTTTTATGTTTGTAATTTTGTCAGTGCCGATTAAGTAAAACATCGAATACGTAATAGCAATATTTAATGCCTCGAGCTTTCATCCCTGCTGAATCGATCAGGTGGATAAAATAAGGTGATCGATGACTAAATACTCGCATTCTCAGTAATGACTGTCCTTACCCTAAAACCCGACGAGTAACTTTTCCAGCACACGGAGTTGTGTTTATATTTATTTACGGTTTTGTCCGACCTATTAAAAAAAGAAAATAAAGTTTTTACTTAATTAATTAATTAATGTTAGCAAAATTAATTTAAATAAGGAAATTTAGGTTCAAATTTATTTTTAAACTCGTTTGTATTAGTTTACATATTCAAAGAATGGATGTAAATGAAGAAAGGAACTTATTTTAAAAAATATAGTTTTAAAACATATTTTAGGTGTTCAAAACTTTATAGTTGTTTATTTTAAAATTCATCCAAAGTCTTTATTTACTTTGAAAGTGTGAATAGTCATAAAAAGCGAAATAATTTGACTTTTACGTAATTTTTGGAATCATGTGCATATCCCAAATGTGTAATAGGAGTAAGATGATCGGTATCTCTGGATATAAAAGATTATTTATCAACGGGCTGGTTTGTATATCTATAGATACATTGTACCTACCATTAATCAAGTTGATGTTCAAACTACAAGAAATAAAAATTATTAATGAAAATTACACAATTATTGAAATTAATTACTATTGATCATTTCTCTTATTTTGAAATTTGCAAGCTTACATTGAAAACATTTGCAGTAATAAAACGATTGTCATGGCCAGAAAATCGTTTAGTAAATATTAACAGTCGTTTATCATAAACGTACCGTTTACGACTTCAACATGTGCAAATGTTGTTTAACGATTATGATTTGTAATTATTCAGATGAGCGGAATTGATCTCATCGCAAATGGGCCCACAATTGATCGTTTGTTGTTGTTCACCATATGTAAAATTTAATCCATCCAATAAAAAACGCAGGAAAAGCTGTATCGTTGTTGTGTTAATTAATAATGGAATTAAATAGCAAGAACGTTTATACCTAATTACATGGGATTGAAAAGCGTTTCGTTTCATGATTAGAGGCTATGAGGGCCGTGAAATTGTTAACTTGAAAAGTGTAGTTCCCTTGCGAATTTTATTTAATACCTGCTTCAAAGTTTAACTGAAATGAGGTATGAAAATGTTCCCACAGTTTTATATCGTGTTTGAAAACAGTTACAAAATGATATTAAATCATCCTTATCTAGGGACCTTGTAAAAGGTAAATTTAGTAATTAATAGTGGACCAGTTCCTTTTCACGTACTAATCGGACCCATTTCAATTTTGAAATTGTGAAAGATACGCGAAAACGCCAGGGCAGTTTCAAACCACCCGACAAACGTAATAAAACGACATCAATTTCGAAAGTTTTCAAGGCGTATAAATCCGAACTGAAAAATTCTTATTTGTCATGACGGTGACTTGCCCGAAGCAATTACGTTCCACGGTTACGCAGATTAAGCACAAGACCCTAAGTTTTTATCTCCGAATTCTGTGAGGCTGGATTGATTGTTGTCCGGATTGTGATTGTATTTTATAGCTTTGAGGCGTGCATGAGTTATGATAATCCATTTCGCAAAAAGTTCTACGTCAAAAAAAGCATTCGTGACATTTTTCGCGTGGAAGCCTAGTGCAAATAGTAATTTACAAGAAAGTCGAATGCCTTGACCTAGTTTTGACCTTCAACATGGTCGGAACGGCTAATGAACGCCGTGAAGTATATACATTAAACTTGACCGTCTGACAGTTAAGGTCTTTTCTGGAAGATGGTCCTGACCACGAATTTGTTTATACCTCCTTTTCTCGATCCCTCATGCCGATATGTTGTGGGGACTTTATGTGTCAGTGTTCTTCTCTGGATCGAAGAGGGCGGTGTAAATCAATAATCATACCATTTAACGTCGTTTTTCAATTCAAAATGCATTTAGCCTTGTTTCTTAGTCAACATAAGTTGTTCTTACTACTTCAAGACCAAAATTTTTTTTCTTATCAACTTTATTGAACATAAACACAATGTTATTACACAATTACACCGAACGGTTGGAATATAGTAACCTTGAGAACAAATCTACACCTGGTGATTCACTTCTACTCGTACGACAAAGTTCGTCAGGTGCTTCTGCCCCTAAAATGGAACAAAACAGTTTGTATGAACCAGGTTCCAATACTGAACCCTTTCGCAGATATTTATTTATTATGTTATTTTTATTTTTGTAACTATCTACGGTTTTCGCCATAAATCTACTCATAGCTCTTTAACTATTCATTTCGGGGAAAATCAAAAAGAATTGAAAAGGGCGAGAAATTTTCTATAAGAAGGAATTCGTATAGAACTTTTTGATTAAAACAACACTAACTCTTTCAAAAACTGCTAAATTAATAAGAAAAATAAGCAAAAAATTAAGACAAATTCAACGTAATTTTTCTGCTCTGGATGTTCATTATATTATTGTCTCTTTTGCATTTTAGGTTTAGGTTTTTCTCATTTTGCTTTTCATATTCAACCGTTTTCTCATTTTATAGTATGATGTATGGTATGATTTTCACGTTTGAATTTGTTTTTCTATTGCTATGCTACATATTTTTTGTTCTGCCATTGTTTAGTATAAATATTTTGTCCAATTTTTCTACCTAAGATGTTCGCTATATTTATTGTTTTATTAATGTGTTTTGTGTCATATTTCTTTTTTTGTGCTTTTTTATTATGTTACATTTTGGAAATAAATTTAACCCAAAACAAAAAGTTGAATTGATAGATTAACGCACTTTTCCTTTGTCACACCGTATCTACTTTTTTCCCGTTTAGCATAAAATTTCTGAATTTTGGTTCAGTGCAATTAAATAAAAGGGTACACTGCTAGAAAGGTTATCAAACGAAGAAGTTGATATGAAGTTTTACCAAGAATCTCTCCAAGAGATTGGAAATTTAGTTACTGGGAATTTTAAATTTAGCAGTTTTTGAAAGTTTAGTGTCCTCCAAAAAAAAGTTCAAAAGCTACGAGTTGATTTTTGGGGAAAAACCGTTGAGCTAATATATACATATAGAATATTTGTGAAAGGGTTGAGAGTCGAACGATGGTTGATATGAACTTTTTTGTTACATTTGAGCGTAGAAGCACCTGACGAACTTTCGTCGTACGAGTAGAAAATCACCCTCTACGGGGCCACAATCACTAAGTTGTAAGTGAAGTTAGACATGGAGTTGATACATTAAAAATTTAAAGAACCATATTGGTACAAATAATATATGAAAATAAAGATATACATTGAGATAACATTAAACTTTAAACATTTCTGCACGTTACCGTTCACTTAAATAATTTACGTCATTAATTCATCGTATGCCGCAATAACTCCCAAAAAATCAATGCCCAACACTTTTATCAAAACTGCGTTTGGTCTATGATAGCTGATTAGAAATAGTAAGTATCTTTTAAAACCATTCGGGACTAGTAAATATTTTTGTTTTTATCTTTGGTGAATTCAGGTAGAGGGAATTTAACATTAAAAGGATTTATTAAATTGAAACTCATATTTTGAAACTTATTCATGTCTACTCATCTATGAAAAAACTCACGGAGTGTACTATAAATCATTATTAAAAACTAATCGACGTCTTACAATTAGAGTTGATGCTGGGTGCTGGTTACGAGGCTGTGTACTCATGTTAAATTGGGTCACCTGAAACCCGCGAGCGAATACGGACCCAATAACATAATGCCGATTCAGCCTAATCTACGTCTTTTTTATATTGATAATGCCAATAATAAAATTGCCAATTGACAATTGAAAAAGTCGTCAATGAAACTTGTCCCGCTCAATAGATTGAAAGTGTTTTGCTTGATGCTTTCAATACGATATAGAGAAAATAATGAATTATATATCTTCGTCGCTTTTCTTATCATAAAGGGGATAAAAGGTTCTTGAAAGGGTGACTTTTTCTATATATCGGCCGTGTCGAGATGCTTCGGCTTTTCTCCCTTATGCTTTATATTCACATAACATGATGATAGCATCATTACAGGAAAATCGTCGTAAGCTTGCTTTTACGTCGTGAGGTTGTAGGATTTAACAACCCTAGGATATTACTGTTTATGAAATCTGCATAATATGTGTTGCAAAATTTGCAGAAAGGTTTTCATGTCTTAGACAACATTTGAGTATACCGTTTTCGACAGGAGAGGCATGTCTTTTCTCTCATTATGTCATGTATCGGGTCGATTGAAAAACAATGTAATTATCTTAGCCGAACGTGTCAAAACAACAAGCTTTAAGACGGTATTATCCATTAAATATTATTACACGTAATCCCAGCTAGTTTTTGACAAAAAAGTTTCAAGATAAATTGTGAGAAATTTTACACCAACTAAAACTATTGTTTTTTTATTATGCATTAATTTAAGCACGAGATGTTAAATTTTTTTATCAGGTCAACACAATAAATAATATATTATTCTTCTTATATGAACTTGCGAATTGATAGATTTATTATTTGAAATATTTTCTTAAATAAATACTTATGCTTACCGACATGAAGCCATATGATTTCGTCTCCTGATATGCGCTGAAAAAGAAAATCAATAACAAATTATACAAATAGGACTGTTACGGATGAATCTAAAAAAAATCCTACAAGCGATGGGATCCGTTCCCTACTTTTGATCCAGAGATTCTAGAGCTTCACTCAAAGCGATTGTTGCAAAATTGAATTCTAAAGCCAACATCATCATCATCATCCTTTCACCCTTTTACCCTCAGCTCGAAAAATTTACCGTAATTCCAGAGGAAATAACCTAATTAGGCACGAACTGCCACGGGAAATCAGATATCGTGAAAATAACCTTATCAAACTTGTCCTTCTTTGTGGTGGGGGGGGGCAAAAGTTGTTAATTAGCAGTCTCTGTATTTATCATATCTTTCTCCGTTAAAAAGGTCAAACCTGTTTTTTTTTGTTTCCAAAAATATCTTTACTTTCTCACAAGAAAAAATTCTAAATATCTATTTTCGTTAGAGTTTCCAATATAGTCCTTAAAACTACCTACTTCCGATTATAATAGAAATTATCAATCATCAGATCAATTCCCAAATCTCAAAAACCTCAGCATCTCCCTACATCATACCGTTCTATTACCAGGCAAAATCTTTTAAGAACAGTTCTCTTCTATCCTCTAAATTCAGTTCAAATAGTTCCTTCATCCCCATCCACTATGCAGAAGCCGGTGTTCTGCAGGGCAGCATCCTTGATCTCATTTTTTATTCAGTGTACACTGCAATGACATCACGCTCCGATTCAAGAATGCCACAGAGTAGACATAGCATCCTCCCCAGCTGTGTTTCCTATACAAAAGGAAAACCTTCGATCGCGTGCTATCCTGTATGCCCGATAGGTACATTAAAGTACGAATCGGATCATCCTTCTCCCGTCCACTATGCCGAAACGGGCGTTACACAAGGCAACATTTTTGTTCCCATTCTTTAGCCCCTGCAACGTTTGTCAATCACGTTACAGTACTTCTTATCTAGAAGTAGTGACCTCTCCCCTGTTTGGAAATTTGGGAAAATGGATTATTAGACTATCACCTCTCCTCTAAACTACTGCAACTCTATTACCCTCCCGCAACCAATGTCGTCCGATATTTGGTACTTTACGCAAGACTTGTCTGGTACCCCCATACTAGATTCGGAAAAAACAAACAGAACATATGATATAAACTACTCAAAAGACAACTGTACAGCAAACCGAAACTCTACAAAATCAACGCTCATCTACATAATACTAACACCAACCTTAGCCTACAGTATTGAGCTCTCAGGTTCAATCAAAAATTCCAGTGTTCAAAATTCTTCGAACCATTGCCCAAGCTCCCACTTCATATACTATTTACTGTTCACATGGACAATACAGAAACCTCTTTAAAACCCTGGCCCCAATAAATTAAAGAGTATCCACAAATTCGATCCCACCCTAGTCCAACCTCTTCCATCCCTTCGCATTTCAAACAGTCCTCTAAGACGCCAAAAGCGCCAATGGACTCGCAACTTCAGCTTTAGTTAGGAAAATATTAGTTTTATCTTAGGAATGGAAATTATTAGATAACTGCTCCACTATTATAATTTTACAATAAAAAATTCTCAAAGACAACAAAGCGTTGTTGGAAAACATAAAAAAATTATCTTGCGCAAATGAGCAAATATAACTTTGTATGTTCAAGATAATACAGTAATTGTTTATGTTTAACAAATTTAATATCATTATGATAATTCTTATTTTTTGTTGGCTATTTTGACAGAAAAGTATAAATATTTATCTTAAATAAGGTTTTCAATTTTGAAATGGTCTCTCCTGAATTAAGTAATTTATTGTATAAATTTCAATTAGCATGAATTAAACTGAAGAGCGAATTAAAGTAAATAACTGAGTGTAAAGGAAAGCCATTACCAGATATTAAATCTTTCAATTTAGATTAAAATTGTAATCCTCCAGGGAAATTAATTTTGATTGTTTTGGTATGTTTCTTTATAAAATCAGTCGGTACGTTATTTTATTTTTAATTTAACTGTTTGTTTTGTTATAAAAATGTTCTAGTAAATGGCTTAAATGTACATGTGGCATTTTAAACGTCTACCATTACGACTGATATCGACCAATTGCGTCATAGATCGAACACAAAACATCTTATTAATATTTCAAAGAAATGATAGTGGACGCTCGATATCTTTGTTCTCTCTTAACCGCTGACTTTTCCGATGATATCTTTCCTTCCATTCGGTGAACACGTGGAACGAGAAAATCTGTACGTCTTTGAAAGAAAAATTAGAATGACAGAAAAATGATCAAAAATTTAATACGTAGCATATCGTAATAACTTGGGTAACAAAGACGGAAAAAAAATTAAACGTAACCGTCTTTAGCTTTTATTGTAATTAAAAATTACGGATAATTAAAAAAAGAAGATATTATATATAAAATTAATCAAGTAATAAAATTAATTTTACAGATATAAAAAAAGATATTTAAAAAAAGAAAACAGTTCACTCGTAAAAGTTTCGAGAAATATATCCCATTTATCAAAACTTTCAAACTCTTCATAATAATTTACAGGTTTGGCTAATATGAAAATCTACTTACAATAATGAAACTCATTCAGATAAAATGAAATTAAGAGTTGAATTTTGCAGAGAACGGGATCAACCACCCGTCCATTCTATAAAAAAGTTTTATTGCATATCTGAATATACTATTTTTTTTCCCTCCAGTCACCCTGGTACTATGTCTATGTACTACGTTATGTAGCATTTCCAACAAATCAAATGTAACCCTTTCCATGTGAGGTAAAACCTTTTTCAAAACAAATGTAACCCGTTCCATGTCGCGAACAACCATTTACAAGTGAAATGTAACTCTTTCCATGTAAATTGAAAACCTTTCCTAGTCAAATGTTTTCCCAAATTTCCAATCGCAAGCAACCCTTTTCAAGTTAAATAGAACCTTTTTGATCTGAGTTGAAAACCTTTTTCGCGTCAAATGTAACCCTTTCCAATCACAAACAACCCTTTTCAAGTCAAATGTAACACTTTCCATATGAGTAGAAACCCTTTCCAAATCAAATGTCACCCTATCAATATGATCTGAAACCCTTCCCGTGGCAACCGTAACCCTTTCAAAATGAGTTGAAACCCTTTCCAAATCAAGTCTAACCCTTTCCTGATCAATTGGTTGAGATAAAAAAGTCACTGTCACGAGCGGGATTCGAACCCACGACCTTCGGCTAAATACGACGCTGCTCTACGACCTGAGCTATCGTGACTTCGATCCACCAACTTCTCAACTCAACCCACCTTTCGAATTTTCCCACCTTTTTGTCATTTTTCAAATGTGTCATCTATTCTATTCTCGGCGATACTGACACTTTTATCTCAACCAATACCTTACATAACGATGAATTAATTGAAAGTAGTTATTGGGTCAATCCACGAAATCTAATGGATTTAATAAGTAAAATGAAGTCTGAACATCTTCACTAAAGCTCTCCGAGGCCAATTCATTTGTTGTATAAAAGATGTTCTTTATTTATTTTAATTTTAATATTATGTAAGTTTAGAATGGTATTGTAATAATCTTTTATCGGTGAAAATACATTTTGTGACATTTCTCTGTGTGGTCTGCGTCTGTGGGTTGATGAACTTGTAATTGGTCGTTACCGTTTCATTTTAGTCGGCCTGTCATTGATTTGTTGGTTCATCAGCGCGTCTGGGCGATCTTCAGTGGGTCAATGTGATTTCTGTAAAGTCAAGTCTCTTTTATTAGGTCGTGTGACGTTATCTTTGTTTACTGTTCTTTTGAATTGTTTAAATGATGTAGGTGAATTGTTAAGTTTACTAGTTTGCATATTTCCAAGATGTCAAGAATCATTTTGTAGTCCTTTTATTCGTCGTGTAATAGTTTCATGCTTGTCTGCACCGTTGAGGGTTCGTGATGGTTTTCGTTTAGGGGAGTCGCCTAGTTTGATTCCCTAAACGATCTCATATGCTCATAGTATTGTGCCTTTTTATTTTTCCTCCAGTCAACCGTATTTGCCTCCGCGTTTGCATGGTACGTAGATGTTTTTGTCAAGTGGGTTGGATTTGCCGGTGTTTTGTCTCGGCAGTTTTCCAATCTTTATTTTTTATGTCTAATTTATTTAGCAGCTTGGTTAGTTTGTTCGTCTTTTCTTCTGTATATGATAATGTCGTCCATTTAACGTCAGATTTGAAGGTGCGTTATGTTTTTGTGTGAGTACTTTTTTACTAATGTATTAAATGTGCACATGTATCTTTATTGTTTGTGTTAATGATCGTATAATGGTACTATTTTTAATATTAATGTGTCTCCGCATTGGCATGTTACAGCGTATATGCTATTTTTGTCAAATGGGTTAGATTCGCCAATGATTTGCTTTAGCAGTTTTCCCTTCTTATTTGTTCTCTTCCTTTTTTGTGTTAATGGATAATGCACAAAAGAAAAGACAAATTTGTTAAATAGATTTCTTACTGCTTCTTTTTCTATGTATGTGTGTGTTTATCTTTAAGTATCTTATGTTGAGTGTACGTTTTGTCTATCATTTTGTTGATTACATTCAACAGCGCTGTGTTTGTTATTGTGGGTGTTAGATTTTATTATTTTTTGTCGTCTGACGTAAATGATCGGTTACGACCAAATTACTCATTTACGCAGACTCACAGAGAAATCTTTTAACAATATATTATTTCTGATTTTATTTGTGTTCTCTACACCATCTACACTGCTGACATATCTGCGATTTACGATTTTTAAAATTATAATATTGTAGATTGATATAAATTATAACCAGAAAAGGTACTATTGAAATTTCAATAAGAAAACGTTTTCTATTTTAATTAAGACACTGCCATCTAAAATTTTATATAATAATATAATATAGTTTTATCGTAATCCTCTCTTCTTGGAGGATACGGGGTTGTTATGATTGTATAGAGTAATAATATTTGTCGATGGTGGAATATCGAGTACTCCCATCGACCCTCAATTAGGACAGTTGTAAAATA